TAAGGGGAAGGTGGCCAGTGTGGCGTCGGCCTGCGCACAGGCGTGCTTTCACACCCCCAGGCATGGAAGTTGTTATGGGTGCGCAGCTCAATAACGAGTGCCATACCCTGTTCTGGCCCCCATGTTGGTCTAGCATAATTCCCCTGTGACCCCATTTACGGGCCAACTTCTTCTAAAGGAGCTTTTTGCATTTGATCGCAACTCAACGATAGAAGTATCAGAATAAATTCGAAAAGTCCGTGGCTCGAACTGTGCCAGAGTGACTGATGCTTATTACAATTAAGAATTTTATTATCGCGTTTATTATAGACCGCTCCTCGGCCCACGAGGTGTGCCCTGCAATCCGACTAAAAACGTAGCTTAGGTCGTCTTAGGCTTGGGGAGATATACATCTGGCAGAGTAGAATGCCAAGGGTTAGATATTCGTCGGGTTCTGTTGCTTGAGACCTGCGCCTATGGTGCCCTTGGAGGCGTCAGCAGTAATGGAGGACGGAGCAGCTGTTAGAGGGCAAGAAAAGGTAGTTGTCTCTTCAAGGGTCATTTTAAAACGTTAGAAGCGTTAACGACTATACCGTGAGATGAAAACTCATAGTTACTGTGGCGCAGGAGATTGGTGAGGATAGTTGTCCAGTCGCTGTGGAACCGTGGAATAACCTTCCTAAGGCGATTGACATGTCTCAGTCAGTGGAGACATTTAAATATCGACTGAACAGACATATGCTACACCAACAAGCGGACTATGTGACTTTGTAACCACAAAGACCAGGTCCTCTGTGAATCAATGTCTGAATTTACTTGTTGCTGGAATTTTTTCGTGTTGTTGCCGATTTTTTGAATGTTTGTGTACAGCTAGGGAAGTCAAAGGCGTAAGACTATTTTCCTCAAATACACTGAATGCAGAATACTGTAATCACTGCATAGGCGTCAACTAGTGAGAACCCCTTTGCAAACCGTGTGCAGAGAGGTTGCCTAACGAGTGGTGGAGGACAGCACTATGCCTAGTTCCACCATAAGGCTGAATTCAGCTTTAACGATAGCTAACTGGCTGGTAATTAAACGACGAGAAAGGCGAAAAACCGGCGGTCCAGCGGTTAAAATATAATGCTTGACGGAATGTTTAATAGACTAGTCAAATTCAGCATACCTGGTGATAACCGGAAATTCCGAAAGCGAATGATGATATGAAGTGGGCGAAGGGATTGTTGAAGTGCATTGACCGGGGATGAAATGATGCTATTTTGGCATTTTTGACACAAGGACTACGTGAAGTCAAATAGTTTCTGGACTAAAACCCACAAGTGAACATAAAAGGCGTGTGGCATCGGCAGGGCGAATGGTGGCTCTACGTCAGTGATAAAAAATGTCCATCAACAAGAACGCACTAAAACAAGATTAAAGCTAGTGATCGTTAAGCAAACGTTTCACTGTGTGGCACTTTTAATTGCTTATGGGGGAAACAAATAGCTGAGTGACTTATGGTCCGTCGGAGGGGATTGAATTAGACAGCAGTGTCCACAAGGAAATTACACCCGTCGAAAAGTTGAAGCAGCCGATTGAGAGATGTTGGACTGTTTAAATCAGTCTCTGTTACTGGTCAGCAGGTAAGTTATCCACCGAGGATTTCTTGTAACGACATGGGGACCTATGTCAGTTTAAGCAGGTTAACGAGGGAATAATTGTAATTATTTATCGTGATAACAACTCAGACATTAGCTAAAAGCCCAGACCTGTGCGTTTCGCGGATCTTGTGCCGACGCCTGACGCGGCTGCGAGGAGTTCGTCTTATCAGTGGGTCTCCCAGCTTCCCCCGTGTAACTTCTGGCATATGAACTGGCACTGTCCGTAAAAGTCTGTCCCGAAAGATTTACTTCAAATTCGCGAATTAAGTTCCTCGGAAATCAAACAAGCAAGGTGAAACTGGAGTTCGTATACCTTAAAAAACTCACGGGAAAGATGGGAGGCCCACTGACGAGCCGAACCCCTCGCAGCTGTGTCAGGCAGCTGCATAAGATCTGTGAAACACGCGTGTCCGGGCTTTAAGCTAATGCCTGTGTTGTCATTGCTGTAAATAATCACATGGTTATATACTACTGGCTATGCGTTGGTGGTTCGAGAATATTATGCGGTCATTCCGCAGTAGCTCACGAATTTCAGCACAAACACTTATAACAGATTTCAAACCGTGCCTGAAAACGTCCGTTTCGAAAGATCTACTGCAAGTTTGCGCTTTAATTTTCTCAGAAATTAAATAAGGTACGCAAATAAGTCTTTCACCTTCCCCTTTTAGAGAGCGCATTAGGGACTGACAACAGAGCCTGCCGCAAAGCTAGCAAACCCAGCTTATTTTCGTCGCTGTGTACGGGGCAGGCGCTAACCGCTGCCACCGACACGATCGTGGCTACATGTACAGTAGTTTTTTTCCGAAAATGAGCATCCTGTCTGCTATTGGAGTATTCAATAGTTCTGGAGAAAACAACCGTATAGGGGGTCTATTCCATGCTCCAATGACCTCGTGAGAGGAGGCTTTCCGTCAGGCGTCTGTATAGGCCAGCCTCCTTTACAGTTTAAAGGGATGACCACTTAGACGGCCCATCCCAGCCAATTCGAAGAATTCATCAAGGTCTAGGGCACACTGACGGCCTCTGACAGTTCGGTAGGTTTGAATGAGACCGCTGCGCCGTTGCCTGTAATTTAGAGGAAACAATTTAGTTCAACATTTGAAAGGGGCTGGCCACCAAGGAGGTAATGGAAGCAAACATCCTCCTATCTGGCCGTTCTGGTGGGGAGTTTGAGGACCCCACATTTGCTAACATTAACATTTAGGAGTCGACGAGCTGACCAGCTGCTAAGTCGGCTTAGGCTCTCCTGAAATGCTTGTCTGTCTGCGTCAGATCCGACTGCTCTCACAGTTTCACATAGTAAGCAACCGTGACAGCGCTCCATCCCGTGTCGTCGGCACAGTCGTGGATGTAGACTAGGAAGAACCACGGCCCTCAGACTGAGCCCTGGGAGATAACACTTAGAACGGTGGTAGGGATTGACTTCGAAGAACAAAAGCACACGGCTTGCGATCTTCCTACAAGACATTTTGCTATCCGTCTCTGTAGCTCCCCTCTTATTCAAGTTTCAGATAGCTGATAGATAAGGCTCTTGTGTGGGACGTGGTCGACACCTGGAAATCCGTGTAAATTACGCCGATCCTACCTAGAGTCCTGAGAGTAAGTTATTCCTCTCCAGCAACTTCATTGCTGCCTTCCTACGCATGGTTTCCATTATTTTACAGAAAATTAAGGTCGGCCTGACTAGCTGGCAATTGTCGGCATTATTTTCAGCTCCATCCTTATATATCGGGCAGATCTTTTCCGCCTTCCATTCAGATGGCTGTTTCTCTAATTCGAATGACAAATAGAGGATGTGCTCTAGCGGTTTTGGCAGTTCGTTTGTAAATTCTCTTGAGATCTTGGTCTGTGTATTGTCCGCACACGAAGACTTTGCTTCTTTGGTATCTGGCAGCTTTCTTTTCATGACAGATCCCGGAAAGAGTATCGATACAGGCACAGGACCGGCGGTTGCAACAGCACTGCTGACATTGTAGTGCCGAAACTCCGTTTCTCTAGTGACTAACGAAGCAAATAACCAGTCCAAGTGTTTTGGCGTTCTCGCCGTTTTTAATGACTTCTACACCATTATTGTCCCTAAGTACTGTGACTAGGTACTTGTTTTTCAATCGATTGCTCATATAGTAAAATAAAATCTTGGGCTTTTTTCAGTTAGCATAATAATTCTGAAACCACCGCCCCTCCTTACCTCCATATTTGACCACATTTTCTCCTCTAGGTTTCCGGATGATCTAGTTTCTCTAATTCTCCCGTTTTTTAATTTTCTTCCTTAACCGATTATCGAGGTCTCTGGTTAATCAGGCAGGTTTAACAGTCGTTTTTGTATTTCCAATAGACAACAACACCCAATGAGACCTGGTGAAATCGTTTAAACGAAGTCCAGTCGTCCACTGGATCCCCCTCGAGCAAACAATTCCAATCCACGGGCATCAATTCGCTGTTCATTGTGCTAAAATCTGCCTTAAATATATTTCCTTTGTTTTCCTTTCTCCTGTGGTGTTGAGAATATAGCGAGTAATCTCACAGTAGCGTATTAAAACCACTCTTACCGAAAGGTGCACTGTAATGTACCTCGCCAACGTTAGAAAAGTCTTCCGTAAAAAACTAGGTCCAAGCAATTGGCTCTATGTTTCATTTTAAATCTCGTTGATGCCTTTACCTGCCGTCCTAGAAAGAAGTCGAGTGTGAGTTCTAATAGTTTGCAGCAGAAGGAGATTGGTAAAACTTCGACCGTCAGATTTTCCCAGTCTATTGCGGGAACGCTGAAGTCGCCAGGGGGTAAGAATCTCTTGATTGATCGCGCGCCTTTCGAATTTGGTTTCGAATTTTCGACCTCCGAGGGATTTGCCTTTTCTGGGATTTCTGCCTACTAGACGCATCGCGGGCCCATTTGGATTAAGAAATTGAAGCTTAATCAGCAATTCCTCTAACGATCCACACGGAACTCCGACAGAACTTTCTTTGAAACGACCATACTCCTTCGTATCAATTCTCTGCCAGCAGCATCCCGGGACTCCCCTTATCCAAGAGCGGCTGAGTCGTTTGCTATTTGCTTCATATTGTTGGCTTGGTTAAAAAGCTTCTCATACACCTTTGAATACTTCGTCCCGTACCTAGAATACCTTGCATATCCTTCGAATTAATAATGGGAGTCGACAAAACACCATCAGGACAATGTGCAAGAAACTCGCCGCAAGTGGGATTCGAACCCAGGTCCCGTCGTGGGGTGAGCAGCGGGATCACCACTGCACTATCGCGCACGGTGAACGGGCTGAAATAAATAAAGGAGTAAACATTATTCGTAGTACAAATGACTGCAACTCTGTATATATCGCTGTCAAGTCACCTCCCGCTAAACGAGCAAGGAGTCTAGTAAGCTGTATGGATACCAAATACGAAGACGAAGCCTGTACGACATGTTTCGGACTCCTTCAAAAATTTGCGGAAATGGAGAAGGAGATAAAGGGCCTTAAAGTGGAGATGGAGAAGCTGAGGAATCGCCCTCGCTATTCATTCAAAGAGAATGAAAGCGAGCGAACATACGCAAACACGGCTTCCTCGGCTGTATCGACGGAGGAGAAAGAAAATAGTAGGTCGCTAGAGCTTGATAGGAATGACACCCAGTGTCTTGTGCGAAAAAAGCGCGGTCAGACGCGATCTCAGCGAACAAAAAGAAATCTCAGGGTACCTCGAAAAGCACAGAGAGTCAGACGAGGGAACAAGAGTTGGCTACGCCGCAGACGAAAATTGCGCCGTTGAAAACGATAAATGATGAAAAGATCGTAGTAAACAGGCAGTCATGCGTTAGTCCTGTTAAATCAAACCTTCCTAAATCGGTGGAAGGTTGTAGCCGGGATGCACGCGATGAAGACTCTGTAGGTATGATTACACCACAAGGCCGTTTAGTTGATCGTTGTAAATGCATCGTTATAATGGGCATGCCTGAGTCTGTTTCAGACGCTCCAAAGGACAGAATACAGCATGACATAGAAATATTCCAGGAATATCTCAGATCGATCTTAATAAGAGACGAAAAAGTCACAGTATTAAAGGCTTTCAGGATGGGCAAAATTAAAGACTCAAAACAAGATCCAGACCGACCGAGACCGTTAAAAATTGTCTTTGACAATGACGAACAAGCGCAGCTACTTTTGAGCAGGAAAGCTGCGCTTAAACACGCCCATTCATCAGTTTTTTTTCAGCGGGACTTTTCACCCGCCGAGCGAGAAAAATGGAGGGGGCTCAAATTGGAAGTCCTCAGGCGGTCGAGTCTGGGCGAGACAAATCTCAGAATAGTGGACGGAAAAAATTATACGCGTCCAGAGGCCATTCCTCTGGAGAAAGCCCATAACTTTAACAGCTTAGGAGTGATGGAAAGCAGTTCATCCCGATCAGCTCCGACCGGCTTTTGCATTCAATCCCAAGAAATGGATAAACGCCTGTATGCCGGAGTTGCCCGTGCCAAATTGAGATTTTTGTATACCAATGCTCAAAGTCTCGTTTCGAAAATCGACGAACTCAAAGCGATAGTACCGGAACAAATCCCCGACGCCATCGCCATAACGGAAACTTGGCTTAATGCCGAAATCATGGATGCTGAAATTTCGATACCGGGTTACCAGCTGTTTCGTAGAGACCGTCAAAATAGGCAGGGCGGAGGGGTAGTCGTACATGTAAGGGAAGGAATTTCAGCAGTTGAAAGGGCCCACACCCTTTTCCTTGAATATGAATCCGTCTGGATAAAGATAAAGAAGAGCAATGCACAAAATCTAGAATTTCTGGCGATTTACAGACCACCAAATCTTCTGAGTGCAGCTGATGAGTCGCTCCTTGGTTTAGTCAAAGACATAGCTAGCAACCAAGAGGTACTTATTGCTGGGGATTTCAACGCACCTGCAATAGAGTGGGAAACTATGGCAGTTAACGGTGGACCAGCCTCTTTCAGCAATAAGCTACTGGACCTCACACTCGATCTCCCTCTGGCGCAACATGTGAAGGTACCAACAAGATTTCGAGAGAACCAGAGAGCAAATTGTCTAGACCTAGTTTTCACTAAAGACTTCTCTAATATCGGCGAAGTGTATTCCAATGCACCTCTCGGGAAAAGTGACCATACTACGCTATTATGGGATTACTCGCTCTTCTCTCAACACCAGAAGAGAACAGAGGGCCAACCTAATATATGGAAGGCAGATTTTAATATGATGAAGAACGAATTGCAGTCCGTGAATTGGGACCAAATATTCAGGGGAGATCCGGAGGACGACTGGAGATCTTTTAAAACGATTTCACTCGATCTGATTAGGCGCTGTTGTCCACCTAAAGTACAAAAAACAACTAGTCGACCTGCTTGGTTAACTAGGGACCTAAATAAGCAGCTACGGAAGAAAAGCAAAAGATGGAAAATATTCAGGGAAACTGCGTCACCAGCGCATTTCGAAGAATTTCGTCCTCAACGAAATGCCGTCAAAAAATGTATCCGTCAGGCACGGAAGGAGTATGAATCCAAAATTATACGACAGGCTGAACAGAAACCTAAGATTTTATTTCACTATCTTAACAGTAGACTGAAAAATAAGGACCCGGTCGCGGTGCTGAAGGATGGTAATGGTGTAGAGATCACTGAGAACAGCGAGGAAGCCGAACACTTAGGACAGTATTTTGCCTCGGTTTTTACTAGAGAAACAGAGTCTCGCAGTCGCAGTGCTAACAATGCTGTTGAGACTGCTGATCGCGTGCTTGACTCCATACTGTTCCCGACAGCTGTCGTGGAAAGGGAGCTGAAAAATCTCAAGGAAGCAAAGTCCTCGGGTCCGGACAATATACCGGCCAAATTCTTGAAGGAACTGGCGAATGAACTTTCCAATCCAATGGCGCACATCTTCCGCTCGTCATTCGAATTAGGGAGGTTGCCATCGGAATGGAAGACAGCAAATATCTTTCCGATATACAAGGGCGGGGCTCGCACTAATGCTGTTAGTCTAACCTGCATCTGCTGTAAAATAATGGAGGCCATAGTTAAGAAAGCAACTATGGAGTTCCTGGAGCAGGGCCATTTAATCTCAGATCTGCAGCACGGGTTTAGACAGAAACGCTCGTGTCTTTCCAGTTTATTGCTCTCGACGGAGCAGTGGACTCGCGCACTGGACGAGGATGGGAGGGTTGATGTCATATACACAGACTTTAAGAAGGCGTTCGACAGCGTCCCACACAAACGCCTAATCTACAAATTTTCTGAAATTGGGATAAGAGGAACGCTGCTGACATGGATTACAGATTTTCTTACCGGGAGATCGCAAACCGTGTGCATTGAGGCCTCAAGGTCAACTCCTATCCCCGTTCTAAGCAGTGTACCCCAGGGCTCCGTCTTAGGGCCGTTGCTACTGCTGGTTTACATTAACGACTGCGTCAACGACCTGGGATGCAGTGCCATCATGTTTGCTGTGGCGAACCATCAGATCTGACGCAGACAGGTACGCGCTTCAAGATAGTCTCAACCGCCTGAACATTTGGTCAGCTCGTTAGCTCCTTAATTTTAATGTGGACGAATGTGCGGTCCTGAGACTCCGCACAAGACGGACCAGTAAGGAGGACGATTCTTTTCAATACGTCCTTGGTGGTCAGCCCCTTTCAAGTGTTGTGGAACAGAAAGACCTGGGCGTCCTAATGACCACCTCGCTGAAACCATCTTCACAGTGTCAAAGGGCAGCCAAAAGTGCGATAAGGGTGTTATTTGCGCTGAGGCGAGGATTTGTACAGATCGATAAACAGCTGTTCGGAAAAACCTATGGGGCATTCGTCCGGTCTCACTTAAAGTATGCAGTCCAGTCCTGGCAAAGTTGATTGAAGAAAGATTATCAACGACTGGAAAGAGTACAGGCGATAGCTACGAAGATGGTCAATAATCTTCATCATTTGCCTTACGAAACCAGGCTGACCGAACTAAATCTGTTTCCTCTAAATTACAGGCAACTGCGCGGCGATCTCATTCAAACCTACAGGATTGTCAGAAGCCGTGAGTGTGCCCTAGACTTTGATGAATTCTTTGAAATGGCCCGGACTGACCGTCTGCGTGGTCATCCGTTCAAACTGCAAAGGAAGCGGGCTCATTCGGACGTCCGACGGAACGCCTTCTCTCACAGGGTCATCGGGGCATGGAATGGACTCCCTGATGCCGTCGTTCTTTTCGAAAGTGTCAAATCCTTTAAGTGCAGACTAGACGCTCATTTGTTGAGAACCTACTGTACATATAATAATGATTGTTTTAGCGGCGGCCGTTTGCGCCTAGCTCACACTTACTGCTAACTTCTTAGCTTTTCGCATTTGCTGATGTAATTGATGACTTTATTTCTGTTTATCGATATGAATAGGGAGCTCAAGGGCAAAAGCCTCATTCCCTTAATAAACTGACTTCCTCGACCGAAAGAGGACCAAGTAGTCAGTCGAACTTGGACGGCTCGGTAGCTTGTAAGCATCATGAATTCTATGTTTTGTGTGTTACTTCTTCTTATCTTTATCCAGATGGATTCATGCTCAAGGAAGAGGGCGTGAGCTTGTCTGACTGCCAAAATTCCTGTTCGCACCTTTACCACTACCCCACTGCCCTAATTTTTTTGAAGGTCAGTGCAAATGAAGTGGCGTTATTGTATCGAAATCTCAGTCTCTTCAATTTAGGCTTTGAACCATTTTCTGTTATGGGAATGACATTGGGGTTTCGATCTGAAACTAGCATCTTGAGTTCGTCGAGTTCCGAAAGGAGAATTTGGGCATTCGTTTACAAACATCGCGATTTCGCCTAAGTAACGCCGATATTTAGGCGTCTGGCCATTTCGTGCGATTGAATGCAAAATCCTGCCGGCATTGATCTACACGGGTAGGTGTCCATCAAGCCTAAGCTGTAAGGGTTATAGACTTCCTCCGTAGAAATGACCTCTGGCATGCTTAATATCCTGTTTGGTACTTTGAGATTGCTCTCGCCCAGGCTTGACCGCCTGAGGATTTCCATCTTAATCTCTCTTCAGATCTTTTTCTCTGCCAGTGAAAAGTCCCGCTAAAACTGTTGGATGGACATATTGGACTGCGAATTTCTTGCCCAATAGTAGTTGCGCTTATTTTTTATTCTGTAAGACATTTTTAGTGGTCTCAACCGACCTGACTCATCCTTTGAGTCTTTTGTTTGGCCTAGCCTGGAAGCCTTTTATACACGGGCTGTCTCATCATCCTTAAGGAGGAATTTGAGGTATTGGTGGAATATTTCCATGTCGTAGTGTATTTTATCGCTTGCGTGTCAGAAGCGGCCTCAGGTGTGTCCTTTATAATAACACATTTACTGTGGTCATTCATGAGCTCCGTGGTGATTTCTTACGTGCAGAAACATAATTACGGATACTCGGGCCATCGTCATCTTCTGATTTAGGAAGGTTTGGTGACACGAAGACAACGCATAATTCCGCGTCCACCAGAACTTCTAGATTATTCACCACAAGCGGCAGCACAGATTTATTCGCAACGTACTTGACTTCTGTTCCCTAATTTGATCATCTTTCTCCTTATGGGAATTCGTGAGACATCTTCCGTTCTTTGAACTCGTGCCTAACCAGGCCTTTCTTCCTTTGATGGGACCCCGACGGGTCTTTAATAAAAATAATAATAATAATTATTAGTAATTTTGATTTTCACGCACATCGAGCACCATAGACTCACTGTTTTCTCTTTCTTAGCTTAACACGGCCTGGGAAGCCGTGGTTGCGGACGTTCTTTCTTGTTTTCTGAAATTTGGATGACAACAATCTCCCTTCTTTGGGCAGATAGTAAAACAGGTTCCTCGATTTCTTAATTTCCAACTTTAGGCCCTTTATCTCCCACAACATTTCTAGAAAAATTTGAGGGAGTCCGAAGGACGTCGTGCAGACCTCATCTTCGTAATTGACATCGGTTCAGCCTAAAATGCTCTTTGCCCGTTTGACGAGAGATGATTGATAGCAAAAGACACAGATTTGTCGTCATTTTTGCCATGGCTGAATGTTCATTCCTTCGTTTATTTCAGTCCGTGCATTGTGCGCCGCTGACTGGATACCTTGTTGTTGAGGCGACGGATTTGCTGGAATTCTATTCCGACTTGTAGTGGATATTTAGCGCATTGATTTTAAGTCTTGTTATCGTTTCCCATTATAAATGGAAAAAATGTGGACTTTATTCAGTACTATGAGACGAAGAAATGTTAGGATGTCAGCGATGTGGAATAAATATCGGAACGACTCAGCCATTTGTAGATTGGCGAAGTCCATCGAGCTGTGGACAGAGAAGCGGTCAGATGAATATATGTTCTATCTATCAAAACCCTGTTGTAATTTTTTTTAAATGGGGTTGTTGCTGGCTTGGCCCAATACTTACTAACGACAGGTTGTGAGAGCGACCAGTGCATGGGAATTCCGAAGAAAGTGAATTCCTCTCAGATCCAAACTTTGAAACCAGTCATAGGCATTGAAACGGTAAGTGTTGTGTTTAATCGTTTCCCTTGACAATGCCTGTAAACTGGCATTTAATAAATTAAATTAAATTAAACTGCAGAAACCGTTGGGGTTGGACGGGCCCGAGCCTGCAGTCATATACTTTGGGCAGCAAATGATGGGAAAGATTCGAAGGTTAGTTGCGAGGATGCCGCTAGATGCTGAATCATTATTGAAGGTTTTTGAAGGGTATCAAAAGTTTTCAAGTGTGTTGTAGTCCACGTACAGGCCTCTGAAGGCCATTAAATGCCTATAACAGTCCTTGAAAGCAAGAGCTTATGTCCATACATATCATAAGCAAAACTGGACTGAAGCAGAAAAGTGTCCACGAGTGAATGAGGACGGCAAATGTAACTTATTTTAAAAAAATATCTTGGCACATGTTGAACCCCCTGATCGGTCACCCACGATGCTTGGCTTCTATTAAAACGCAAGTTCTTTATAGTAAAAATAAGGAAGTATTCAAAGCATCAAATATCGATTCCTTCATCTATCTGAATATCCCAAAGTTGAGAAAATTTTAGTGTGACCGTAACTCAGTGGTAAGGGAAACCGCGTTGGTTGCCCTTGTTTGGCGGGTGGTTTGTCATGGTCTTCCGCACCTCAACTGCGTTATCTGCCAGTTTCCTACGCACAGAACGATATGTCTATGGTTTATTTATCATTGTAGAATTCATTCTATTTGTTTATAAGGCTTTATCTTATAACTATGGGACGGGCGCATACGCTTTGGAATTTATTATATACCTGGAGTGGTGCTTATGCGAGTCAAGTAGACAGTTCTTTTGTTCGTTCGCCAACAAGGCTTCAGCATACCCTCCCATCGTCGCAAGCACTGTGCTTATTTTTCCCTCCTTAATTGGCTTGTTCTTCTTTCTCTTTTTACAGTCTTTTATTTTACAGTTTGAGTTTATTCTCTGCTCAATTTTTGCGCTTATGTTAATCATTCATTCGATTGTCCACGTTTGCCTCCTTTCATCATTTCCACGAAAATTTTGATCTGTCAAATAAACTTCATCAGCCTTATTTTCTTGCCTCCTTTGCTAACTTCTCATTTGGAAATATGTACTTTAGGCGTCGCTACATCTTGTGCCGGAATATGATCAAACCTGGTCCGGCCTTGATAAGGAGGCTTTGATTGTCGCAGTTGTTGGTGTGGGAAACGTCAGCCAGCTCTGCATGGACTTGCTTATTTCCACGTTAAAGACCAACTTCGTTGGCTACCTAGAGTCCCCATGTATTCCCGCTCTGGTCGGTGCTGCGCCGTATTCTACTGATCCTGACAAGCCGTTTTTGGCTGGCTCACTGGAAGTACGTTATACTTTGTAATGCGCTTTCCTGCTTGGTACATCCAAAAGCCCTCCATTTTTCGCGACAGAGTGTTTTCATAGATATAGATACATACTAGAAGTAACTATGTGACATTGACATTAGACACACCTCACAATCGTGAGTCTCGCTGGGCTGCTGATTGGGTCGTCTCGTCACTTAAATAAACTCACGACAAGAGTCCGTCTTAGCCTTCATTCTGCTGTTTTTTGGCCCTATTAAACGTCTCTGATATTCAAAAACAGACGTCGTCGTCCGTACCAATGTTGTCATAGCCAGTCGTAAAACTTGTTTCGACATTGAAGACGACTTGCGTTTGGGGCAACGTTGGGCAGTACCATTCGTACCCTCCCATTCATGCTGATTCAGTGGCTTGACAGCTTAAAAATATTGTCGGGGACCTATTTTTGTACGTTTTGAAGGCCACATTGCGTTGCATTCTAATTGAACTGTCTGCTATTGGTCTCATTACTGCAAAACTGACTATATATACCAAGAATTTCCTTCCGTAGTCTAACGTTCTCCAGTCTTCTGCAATCCACTTATCGCTGAAAATGATGACTCCAGGTCAAAGTTCCGTGCAACTCCACAGGATGGATGGGTGACTGAAGAGGCCACTGGGCATTTGGTTGCCGCACGTAAGTGGACATGTGGCTCAGCGGACTGTTCAGACCATGTGAGCAGGTCTGGTGATTAAGTAGAGCGCAGTGGCTGATCCAGCGTAGGATCACGGCTCGTGCCTTCATGCATGTGTCGGTTCTTCAGTCGACAAAAGCCAAACTTCGCTCACTGACATCCTATCGATGAGAGTTGTCGTAAATACACGCTAAAGAGGAACCATTGTGACCTGGCTATCTCCCAAAACGGACATATTATCACGCCAATTGGAAACGTTAAAATTTAAGGCTTTTAGCGCTGTTTTATAAGTGAACCTATTTTGGCATCATTACAGTGGGAGACGTTCGCTGAGATTTGGCCCCACCCTTCTTACCTGACGACATGGCTGGGTCAAAGCCGTTGTAAAGAAGATCGAGCATAGTAAACGGCACTGTGTAGCGTCTGCGCCCCTCTGGGGTAACAGTGATTGACTCGCCTCTCGTTCTGACGCAAAAACGTCGCCGTTCCTGAGGGTTACCTCTCCCACGTGGTATTTTGTCCGTCCTTTTCGACGAAGAATGGTATTTTGTGACCACCCATCACCATCTTCATCCCGCTCTGACTTTTTGCGTATTTGTGTGTATCTGTTGCTGCTTTCGGAAGGTGCCATCCTTTGGGTTTAGTAAGGACCTTGATCTGGCCATCATAATGAGAGGTGACGTCCTCAGCGTGTTTTATAACTTTTTACGCTTGCTTTTCCATTCACACACTAAGGTCGTGGTTGGCCGCTTGTTTCTGAACGCTCGAGTCTAAAGCCTTATCGCTTAACAGTAACGGGTCCGAATGCACATGAATAATTTAGGGATTCTGGGTGTTCAACTTAACTATCGTGTGTCAATGTCGGGTGTCTTCCTGGCACTTTACTCTCGGCCTCTTCTGAAAATGGAACGGATAAAAGTCCTCTGTTTAGATTGCGTGTTTGACCTAAAACAGCGTGGTCGGCGTGACGATTTTCCCCATTTCCAACTTTATTTAAAGATAGTCTGCGGCGATTCCGTACCGAAAGCGAGCATTTGAACGATCTTGTTAACCGTTGACTTCCTTGTATCAACCCTATTGTCGATTGTAAGCCTGAACGCTATCTTACACCCAAAGTAGATCAGTGACTGACTGACTGAGTTGTTCACTACTAAAAGGCAAATGATCAGTAATGTTAGTTCTCGTGTCGGGGCACTGCGCAGTTGCTGTCATCCATCTCTTTCCTAAAGTCTGTCCTTTCCGAAACTGGCGAAGTCCAAACTTCGTCACGTCTTTCTTTTTACAACGAATGTGGGCATACATCCGTCGGGAAACGGACGATCATGGGCTTTTTTCTTTGAGTCTTTTATGCGGACATCCGTACATTGTAGTCCTCTTTCTGGGCTCATTCTTATAAACTATGTCCGTGATCTTTGGTCAGGTTTAGGAGCTTAACATAGTGCCTGTTTATTCGGTGGCTGTCGGATGGCAACAACCATCCTGATAATTCCTTTCCGTTACCGAATCTTGATGCCTTTTATGTCGTAAGTTGTGCTTCTAAGTGTACTTTTTGACTGTTAGACAGATTACCATCGGAGCATTTCTCAGCAGCGTTGAGGGCGATTATCATTCGGGGATTGTCGCAGATTTGGACTAGTAGGACTGAGCAGTACTTGCGCACCTTACATCCTAAAAAGTCCTTTCTCGTTTCCACGTTTACAAGATGGTTCAGCTTCTTCAGAATTTGGCAACCACCGTATTTGCATAATTAGGTGACAACCGATTTGACCTTAAGAACCTTACCTTATTTTCGGTTGGTCGAGGCTAGTGTCGATTAAAACTTGCCCAAGTGTGTCGATCTTCCTCTCAGAAATTAAGAACGAACAGTGAAGAACAATCCAAAATATCCAGTTTGATGGCCTAGGATCTGTAATTTCCTCGATATAAGAGTTGAGAAGTCCAGCGGCAGAAAAGTTCCGTAAGAAGACTAAAAATCTCACTTCAGAATGATCACTGTATATTTGAACTTCCTTAGCTTCGTTGTCTAGCCGGAAGTTTTGCTTTTGTATTTTTGGTTGCGTTTTTCACCGGAATCTGAAAGAGATGGCTATTTTGGGCACTGTGTTGGAATACACCTGAAGAACAAGTCCTGAGAACCCTTGCTGTTTTCGTCAAATGAGTCCTAGTGCAGCCGCCACGTCTGTTCATGGGCACCAGTGATAGTTACGATACACGTTAGTCTTTTGGAATATTTATGTCATATTTTAGTCCCGCTTTGCTTGCTCTGGAAGCGAACTGCTCTCCAGGCCCTCCATCGCCCGTCAGGGTGACATCTAACTCCTGATTTCCCCTAAAAGCATTTGGTTGTTTGACCCTGAAGTTTCATCTATTAAGTGGGTAGATAGTCGTCAGTCCAGCTTCCAACGCTGCCTTCGTGACCTGCACCTCCGGACTGCCGCCTTCCACCTCCATATCATTTGCATGTTATCAGTGGTGCTGAATTGCGTTCGCTTAAGTCGTTTTGCGCCTAACATGTCTGCGATTACTCCTCATTTGTTCACTCCTGGTGGTTTTCCTTACGACGCCTCCCTACGCACGACAGTTTTCGCTAAGCGATTCGGTAAGTCCGATCTAATCTTAGCTGCGAGAGCCAAGTGCAGACGACAGAAGAACAGTCCCCACATCTAGACGAGCGGATTTTGTCGTATTGTGGAACTGATTACCTCTGTCACTTCAAATGGCGGCGAATTAGGATAGAGAGACCGAGTTTCTGGAACGCGCGACAGACAATCAACCAATATGACAGCTGTTTTTTGAAGGTGCTTCATATATGTGAGGCGAATTCTTTGTAGTTGTTCAAATACGCGATCTTGAGGAGCACTCGTTTCTTCCTTCTACGCGCATAGCCGAGCGTTGACAGTCATAGAGGACAGACGGAACGGATGTCTGGTCCACACGGATTTTCTGTTGCTTAAAATATCGTGGGGCTACATAGGCACCTTCAAAAAGTAGCGAACAATCTCGTGAGCATAGTCGGTTAAGGTCTCATCTGATAGCAGCCCATATCCGAGGTATTTGAAGTTGCCTACTTCCGTAAGCCAACAACCATTAACCAGAAGACTGCCCTTCCTTCGGTCAAAGATGCAGCACCAGAATATCTCGATTTTACAGCGTTGGTGGGTAAATTATCTGATTTGGAAGCCTTGTTCACCAGAGATGGTGCACCTTGTTGGTCTTGTAAGCTGAAGGTAGTAAGAAAATGTGACCAGTGTTGTCGAGGTCAGTCGGTCAACGCCTGGGTACAAGTTTAACACAGTCGCAACAGTGGACTTGCACGAAGGTGGGGATTGCCCGTTTATCTAAATTCTTGTCACTCCTCCACAGTCGGCACAGCATGCTCACGGTAATGCACTGCTTCCATTCCGATCTTCAGCCTTGCGTTTGGGAACCGATAGCGGTGGACAGATTTAGATGACAGTGTGAAACATCCCATTAGAATTCCTGCCGAGCCTTTGCTAGTTTGACCTTTGGATTTGGTGTCCATCGAGATCGACGGAGGAACTGGCTATGTATGTGAAAAAGCCGGACCAAATGATCCTTCCTACATTCTCATGCTGTTCGCCGTTGATTATTCCTCAAGTTACTCAATAATGTCTATAATAGCGAAAGGCTCCTATAGTAGTTTGTCTCTTTTGTCATTCTAGCATGGCCCTTTGTAGTAGAAAGTATTTGGGCTGGATTCATATGTGTCAGCCAGGCTCATTAAGTCCGATTTTGGAGTTATTTTTTCTCTGTCGTCTCTGACGGCGGTCGCAAGTAAGGTCCTGTTTACAGCCTCAGTGTCACATTGACGTCCGTCATCGGGCTTTGAGGTGCTTTATTGGACAGCCAATGTGTCAGACGTCATCGCTCTGTGATCCCAGCAGTCTCGTCGCCGATGCCTCTATGTGTGTTTGCTTCGGAGCCAGTCCTCACTGGAGGTTGTTTGGCTCCTTCTGTGGACGCTCCGGGTCACCAGCAGGCAACTGGAGTGTAGCCACTATCGCGTTGTGGAATGGAGTGTTAGGCTAGACCAATGTGTTTTGAGAAACCACATAGCGGTAGGCACGTATACTTACCTTCATTCCATCAAGTGAATTTCCATCGGGCATCCCTCTCGATGTCATCCGTCGTAAGTCCGCGAGACGGATAATGGAGTTAGATGATCTATCATGGGGCTATTTTCCTATAGCCAAAACCTACCACGACTTCGACTGCACCCGTATTCCTGCCCACAACACCATCCTACAAGCGTCCAACGTTGAGTTAAACTTTCAGAAGGGGCCCATTTCATTGTTCGTTCTATTTACATGCCTTATTGACTGAATTCTTGGGATGAATCCATCTGGTGTTGAACCTGCCCGTAACACAAACCGACCTCCACTAGATCGAATACTCTCTCATCAAATAAAGAAGGCCCACAGGGTCGTGATGTCGAGATTGCTTCATCGACCAGCTACTTCTCGGACATAAGAAAAGTCTAGTGTATTCTTTAGCTGTATCTATCAACAGGAGAGAACAGCCGTCGGACAAGGGCAAGCACCTCGGGGACTGGTTGTCACCAAAAGCCACTTGGGCAATGTTGCCCTGTTGGATTTATGCCAGCTCCTGATGACATCAATGTATCCATCTTGCCATTTCATCTACCCTCCGCCCATCTCGATGACTCTAAATTAGCGCTCTGCGCACAGAATATGTGGACAGACCGGGAGCATTTAGTCGCCGTCGCTTAGTGATCATCCTTCCAATGCCATATGCAGACCGTTGCTAAGTGCAATAGTCCATACTCTCTGCACCATCGCAATGGGACGTCAGTCCCACCGACAGAGAAAGGCGACTGCCGCGGTTTGGGCGCATCGCCGGTCACATATCCCACAATATCAGCGTCACCGTTTTAAGTCCGCACCACTCCATCACTGGGAAGGACGAAGATTTGGTCAGCTAAAAACCTGCCTCGGCACTGATGGATACGTGGAGACCCCGACCGTTGGAAAAGAAGGCTTCTATAGCCGCTGCTGTCAGTTGCCACAACTAACCGTTCTTAGAGAAGAACTGTACAGGGCACCGTTGAGGACGGCCAGACTGCGTTTGATCACAGTCGTGTGAAGTGCAAGCAAGCGCTTAGAATAACTCGGACCTCGCAGTCAACCCAGTGTTTGTTTGTGTGGAGTGGCGGACTGAAAGTCAGGCTGCGATTTCTCCTTAGTGGGGCCTCAGTGCGGTCCGAGCCGGTGTGGTGGCATGCGCCTAGATGCGGATTTTCGCTGTTCCAGCCTCATGCATCCTCTCTTCCCTCCGATCTTCTTGGCTCCGTCACAACAGTGGGCTCAGATGAGGGAGGGATGGGTGCGGTGGATGCTGTGCAAATCGGCTGCCACTCTAAACGAATTCATGCGCAAGTCGCCGTTCCTGCTCCCACCCTGACGGACATTGCCGTAAACGACGGTCGAACTGTCACTTCAGTTTTACTTTGCTCCAGATTCCGTCCTTTCTTGTCGAGTTTTCAGTCTTTTGCATTTTGCCGGCCTGTTTCTAAATGCCGGCTATCGCAGTGCTGACTTTTAAGCCTGTAGTGTTATTTGGCAGTTTAATACTCATAGCCTTCCCTTCCATGCTACATGGGAATGTCGTCCACCGAGCTAGCCCGACTGGGGGATTTTCTTTAGGGCTACGATTTAGGGCCGCTGCAGACGATCGCATAGCATTTAAAACAGGCATACACAGCAGGATTCATTGGCACCGGAAGGGCTTCAACGGTCTTGTCTGGTTTACTTGCCAGCGGTGGCCGAAGATAATCCATATTCAGCCCAAGAAGATCCGAGTTCCTAGGCAAGATTTGCTTCGTTATTGAGTTTAGCGCTGTGCCGGTTGAACCGCGGCTTCATGCCGCCAGCTGTGATCGTGGCCGTTTCAAGTCACTCGAGACTAGTGTTCAGCGGTTTGACGTTTACCCTTGGGCACAGTGACATGTGATCAATTATCAGGCGTGCGCGCTGGAACTGGACCGATGTTTGTTCGCTAACAACACTCAGGCCCAAATCGCTGGCCGTCCGAGTCTGGGGTTGGGGTGTGATCGACTGGCCACGGCAGATATGCCAGAAGTTATCACATTCCAGTCTCCCCCTTTTCACAAAAAAGTATCTCAGTGAGTCTATAACGATGGGAATTATTTGGTTTAACTTTCTCAACTCGGGAAAACTATCGTTCATTTCTCCTTTTGAGGCACGGACTGAGACCTCTGCCAGCTATGACTGTCGCTTTAGCATTTTTCCCCAGTCATGTTGCTTCGGGATTCTGTCGTTATTATCGCATCTTTATTAAATTCTTCAGTTGTACCATGTTCCAGACCGGAAGACTTTTCTACTTCAAACAAGAGCTCCGAACTTCGCCGGCACGCGGAAGAAGTTCGCCGCTGAACTGCAGAACTTTGTCCTGCAGCACAAGTTTTCCAGAGTAGTCCTCCTCTCGAGTAGCTTTGCAATGGCCCGTAAGGTATGTCTTTATCAGCCCCTTGGTGGTTATTTTAATTTCAAATTTTCCTACCTATCTGTTACTGTTTTCCTACATATTCGGAGATAACTCTCTTAAGTGCCAACGACAGTTAGACAACCAGTCAAAGTTTTGTTAGATTGTTGTTGTTGTGTTACTGTTCTCTCTGGACAGAATAGTCCCTGGCTCATCGGATAGCTCCTATATTGGGCTGTTTAGTGGAACGATGGTCTTTTGAGGGCCGTTCCACTTTCCGATGACACTTTGACCGTCGCAAGCAAGGACTTTCACCTTGAGACCCTAATAGTGAACGCAGCAACGGTGACTTACAAGTTAATCAGTTTATAGTGAGTCAACCTTGCGCAACATCAACCTGCCCTAGTAATCCTCACTCCTTCGATTTCCATACCCCTTTTGCGTGTTAACCTTCTCCCTCTTTCCTTCGCAAATAACGTTTTAAGTTACTCTTTTCGGTGATTAGTCTACGTGTACTAACCACGGATCTTGCTGGTTTGCATTAATTTTTTTGTGAAAATTCAAATTGCTGCATGTTTCTTATTCGTCATCAAAGTTATGCAGCGACTGATTGTAGTTGATAAGCAGCCGCGAAATTGGTTGGTTCCAATAAATTCTGTTCTCTATGCCTGTTTTAAAATCTACCACACTTTCTTCTTCACCCACTTTTCTCGGAAGGCGAAATAGTGTCAAGATGACCAGAAATTGACGAGAGCACATTTCTCGACAGGGTTAAATGGCGTCTACGCGTGCCACGCACAAACGGAAGGACTCGACTCTCTCTTCAGGATAGAGAGTCATATTGGAATGGCTTCCTCTGAATTCGGCCCCTAGGGCACCCTCACCCAGTCGACATCCTAGCGGCCCCGCCTTGTTGTAGCCATGGGAACAGGGTTGAATCAGACGTCTGCGGCACGCACAGCATTCTCAGTCATTACGCCCGGTCCCGCCTCCGGGGGTCTTCACTCTGTCTTGACGCCAGGCTCAGGCTAATGAGGGAGGAGAGAGTGCGACAGATCCAGCACGAGCTTACTATCACTTTAAATTACTTTGTGCGCAAGTCATGTTCCCGCACCTGCCCTGGTGGACATCGGCGAACTGTCACCCTGTTTACTTCCTCGGTTGTTCTCTTCACTATCACGGTACAATCTTCCCAACTGTCTTTCCCTCCTGTAGGATGCACAGCTTCTCGGGCTTCCCGTGGAGTTTGAAATGACCGGTTTCCCCGACTCCGCTTATCAGCTTCTGAGATCTTTGGGTTTGTCGGAGATACCGAAGGAGGAAGGACCTACTGGGGATACTTCAGAGAGGAGACGGAACATCCCAGGCTCCGGCTGCGCCGAGGCTCTGTTCACTAGCCTCTCCTCCGGTGGCGTGTCCACAGCTCTGTTAAACATCTTCACATCGGAGGGCGACAACCGGGGTGATGCAGTCTACATGGCCAACCTGCTGGACTCCTGGTTGCACCTACTGTCTCCTCAGGCTGTCTCTGCTGGAGTGGACCCTACTAAGTGGAGGACTCCAGACTGTTGGAAGTTTTTGTATGGTGCTGACCCGGACCCCGCTTTATACTAAAAAATAAGCTTCAACGTCAAGTAGTCCTTTTTATTGAATGGCTTGTAGTGGTCAAGGACGTGAGATCAACTTAAACCACATGCAATAAGTTTGCTCCGATTAGTAACAGAAGTCAGGAAGTTGTGGGAACAGGTTTATTCTGTACACAAGGCAGGTCGCCGTAAGTTGGCTGTATGCTTGTGGCAGAGATAAGCGTACGTTCTGGAGAGCGTCAGTTGCGGTGCCTTCTGTGTGTCGCTACCACCAAAACAGGGTGTTGTGTCCTTCTTGCCTCTGTCCTGTCTGCTCAAATTTTCGTCCGCAAGGGCGGCGTCCCGTGTGTGCACTTGTAACCAATCAGCGAAAGAGATCGCATTGATTAGCTTCGAAAGCACGTGAGGGTAGTGGCAAGTTATCGACCAGGAGTGTGGTGTGGACGTGATTGCGGATCGTGGGTTGGCGAGCGCAACCGTGGCGCGTATACAGTAGAACGAGAAGACAGAGAAAATGCTGCTACAACTCCCCCCAGACACCAAACGAAGTGTAGGGGTTGATATGCTAGCCAGCCACGAATCTGTCGGGCCAGCGGACATGACGACCGGATCGGGTTCGGCGCATCGGTGAGGGAATGGCGTCAGACGACGGCGTGGGCGTCAACGCCTGTGACGGAGAAGACGGTTGGGGTAAGTTCGATTGGCAGTCGTCGAGGGATGCAGGTTTGGCACGATCAATGCTGACGGTGTCCGTCTTTCCGTTGCGCTCGATGACAAAATGCTCGTCAGACCGTCGAAGGACTTCGTAAGGCTCGCCATATGGCGGTTGCAATGGTCGACGGACTGCGTCATGCTGGACCAGGACGAGATCGCACGTGTCCAGGTTGGGAGGAATGAAGGAACGAGTTGGAGAAACGCGAGTGGGCGTTGCGCGGAGAGTGTGCATCGCAGTACGTAGTCGGTCCACATAACTGCAAGGCTCGAGAGACGTTAGCTTTTCTGAAGGAGATACCAACTCATCGGGAAGGCGTCATGAAGTTCCATAAACAAGGTCAGCTGCAGTGCAACCGATGTCGGCTTTGATAGTGGAACAAAGGTACAACATCCCCAAGGGAAGATTATCCGACCATCGAGAAGGATCAGACTGCGCCATGAGGGCAGTCTTGAGCTGTCGATAAAAACGTTCGACGAGGCCATTTGCTTGAGGATGGTACAGGCTACACACTGACGGTGCACACTTGGGTGGTAAACAACACAAACATCACTGACAAAGACACCGCAGGCTGAGATGGCCATTTCTGGCCTGCTAAACGTCATCAGCCAGCCGTATCCAGCCTCCGGTTTGCAGAACCTGGACTTCTAGCCAGGTTTTTTGGCCGCTTGGGCGTTTTTAGGTCCAACATCATTCTATCATTGAACCGCGGGCCCCTTGTTCTATCGGTTGCGACAGGGAATAGCAGCTATCGTGGGAGGTGCGTCTACTGGTTGGGTTGCAGGACAGACTCGTTGCTTTGTGCTTTGAGGCTCAATCTAGAGCCCACACAGGCGGCCCCGTGGGACCCAGATATCACACAGGAACACCAACGAGGACAAAGGTGACTGGGATGATCATTTCCGGCTTGTTAGCCGTCGTCAGCCAGCCATGCCCAGCCCGAGGCGCAGTGGGACCAGCGTGTCCCGTATTTTTTATAGTTCCTCTAACTACACGATTCTAGCGAGAATTCTTATTGAGTAGGCGTCGCTGGCAAAGATAATAAACACTTGGGTTATTGCCTCATAGCCAGTTGCCCTCACGAGACAGCCGTGGCGTAAAACCAAACGAGCACTTGAGATCTGATTCCAAGCCAGTTTATCATCGATTTCCGTCTCCTGCACCCGGGATAGGTCGGTTCAAGTCACTCTCACGTGACTGGGTGTTGTCTATCCAACGAAAGCGTACACGCAATCCTTATTTTCTATCGTTCCCAGGTTAATAGTGATCCCCCCTTCCAGAACCCGGTCAGCCGCGCAGATGTTTATTCGTCATGGCAGTATGTTTTGTGAGTTTAATATCCTTTTTATGGCTGCTGCACTATCCATTTAAAGTTAGACCGTGGGGGGGGGGGGGAGGTTGCACACCTCGGGGTTGAACGTGACTGACTATGACGGCTTACAAGCCAGAAATGGCCATCCTAGTCTCCCTGGTCTTTGTCGATAATGCCATTTTGCCAATGCTTCGGGCCGCTGTACAGCTGCTTATGGGGCTCGAGAGAGAGAGAACCCCAACGGACAGCGGGTTTATTGAATTCCGTAGCGCGATCGGCGCGCGCCCCTCTACCACCGTCAGTATATCCGATCGCAACCGACAGGACAGCGAACTCGCGGCTCAACGGGTGGGGCGTTTAACTGTTAACCAACAGGTCGCGAGTTCGAGCCCCGAGGGTTGCATACCTTGGGATTGGATATGGTCGGCTAGTAACAGCTGACAGGCTAGAAATGACCATCCGAATCTCCCCTATATTTGTCTGTAATGCTATTCAGACCGAAGTTTTTACGTGATATCTAACAGCGGATGCTTCGGAATACAAAGGGTGGGAGCATAGGTAGGCGTCTTAACCGTTGCTGGTTCAATAACACACCTCAGAATAAGGCGGAGGGTCAGGAGCGGCCCCATTCGATCCTAAGTGGCCGGCACTTCAAACTGACGACCACAATATGCCACTTAGGTGTCCATTCTTGTTCTGAAAGTAACCCGTTCGGTGTTGGTAACATTCTGTTCGATGGTATGCTCGGAAACCAGGATCCATATTTGAGAAAAGCCCTCACTCGAGGAATGCACCACAGGTCCTTTCGCAAGCAAGCCAATCGGCCAGCCCTAACCTCAGTAATTTCACAGTATACAGAGACTTTTCTTACTGTCCGCAGCTGTCGGAGCGTTTCAAGTCGTCAAAAATGGGCAGTAGGCTTACTTACCTGAAACACATGTGGAGGTCATCCTGACATTCCCATGAGACCTCTAAATCCCCTGAGTTATGCTACAGATCACATGAGGCTGCTTTGAGGCCCATCAAAAGGCCTAAGCCTGTAGTTCTGTTATCTAGCCGTCTCTCACAACCCTGGCTCGTTTTACCTGCTCTGAGATTGCCCAGGCTTCAACTCCCGCAGTGCTGCTTGTGTGTCGGCCAACGAGGACAGTCTTGTCAACGGGACTGCGGCATACCTTCGCTACGTACCGCGCTCCAACGAGGTGCACTCAGATCCTGTTCAGGTGACAGTGACAGACAGATCAAATTAGGAAGGGACCGGAGCCAGTCCAAAGTGGGGTCGAGTTATTGCTCTGACCGACAACCCTCCATACTTCGACAGGCAGTTATCGCAACGGTTTTAAGACGCGCCATATCTATTAGAGCGAGGAGTAGGCTGGGTCTCCATGGGGAACGGCACGACGGTATTGGCCTAATTGTGCCCTCACCCCTGCCGTACTCGCCCCCCCCCCCACCGGGCCTGCCAGAGTGCAGGTAGATGAAGCACAGTCTCTAACGTAGCGCAAGCCTCCGTCCAGCCCGTGCCAGGCGCATGTACCGCAATAGTTCATGACTTACGCGGACTCAACGCTGTCCAGTTAACGCATGCCAGAGCCAAAGTGGCCTCCGTTTTGGTCTGACACAGAAGTGATGCCAATAAAAAAGCGCTTTTTGACTATGACAGGCCAGCGACAGGGCCTTGAGTAGGACGGAAGAATTTTGAGTGTTGACATCTGGCGGTGCGTTCACTGATCGACTAACGTATATGAATATTGTTCAGTTGTATTATTAAATTTAATAATAATCAAGTAGAGCAGTTTCATAGAAAGCTGAACCGTCTACACCGGGTCCTATTCAGTATTCTGGCATAAATTTTAACCCCATCTCCACACCGCCGTTGGTAATTCCGTCGTCCTGAGGTGCGTTTATTGCGGTTTTGCAACTTCATCGATCGTTTTCTGGACCGTCCGTATAACGTTTTTAAATATAACCACACTTTGGAAATTTGACCCCAGAAGAAAAGGGCAGTTTATCTTAACAACTGCTCGATACTGCCCGCCCCAAGCATAGCTGTTATCCTGGGAGAATTCCATCCGTTTCCGGCGAACGTCAAGGATTATCCGAATTTAGCTTAACAATATTAATTGACACACGAAGTAGTAGGTTAGGATAAAGGTTGGTAGCTAGCGTTTTGGAAATATTAAACCGGAGAAAAGATTATGGCCTCGATGTTTAAATGAGGTATGGTTTTGTTTGGAGATAATAATTGTTGCTCTCGGAGGTCGTAGTAGTTTGGTATTAAAGGACGGCTTCGAATGAAAGTTGAACTGATGTGGATTTGTGTACGGTTGGTTTGATCTCACCGTATTCGCTGCACCCGAGGGTGATATAATAATAATAGTGTTAAATGCCAGTTTACAGGCATTGTCAGGAAAGCGCTAAACACAAATCCGGTCGGCAGGGGAAAAAACTCCTGTCAAAAAGGGATAAAAATAAAGTTGATGGTGTTTTTTGTTTTGGTTTTAAGGGTTCAGGAGAAAAAAAACTTCTGACCACAAAATGCCGACAGTCAAGAAGGGAGGGGTTGCACTGTATCGGATATTATCAGTCATGACGCTTGGATTCACCAAACTAATCCGTGCTTGCCATTCTTGTGTCAGCCGACTAGTTCCTAAGGGGAAGAGGAAGAGCTCTTGCAAAAAGTTGGTGTATAAATACCAAAAAAGGGTTGTTTACGAAGGCATTAGGCACTTAATTAAGCGACCCTTAATTATGCCAAACTGGCCAACTACGAACGAGAACAAGGAGACTGACCGAGATCCAAAGGTACATATTATGAGATGTTTCTCTAGGGCAGCCGGAAGAAGTTGACTGTCCTCTGAAACATATCGAAATTGGAGCATTCTTAACGTAAATGGCACGAGAGTAGGAACCTCTCTCCATTAGTGGGGAGTGGCCTTGCTCAAAATTCCAGGAAGGAAAAATGTCCCCGTGTCTTAACACTTGCCCTAACCCAAACATTAACCCAAACCATAATCTCTCCGGAAATTAGTGTACGGCCTCCGGAACAGGGAGGGGGAGGGTTCCTATGCCCGTGCGTTACATTTTTGATTTTGATCGGCTGCAGTGCACTCATATTATGAATGCGGATGTATGTGTCCCAGAGCATTTAATAAACGGAAATGACTCTTCGAGTCATTTGACAGGAAATTGTGTCATTGGCATTTGAAACCATGAACCTCCGTGTGCTAATGGAATGACATCATGATTATTTGGGCTGTCTCCTATACAATACTACGTGGGTCGTTGAAATAATTCGTCATCGAAAGCCTTTGTTCTAAAGTCCACTTCGTACCTGCTTTTGATTTACAGTACTGATGGCTGGCTTGAGCCATTTCACTTGAAATCGCAAGCACGTCTGAAATCGGAGCTTCCTGACTTATATTTTAGCTCTGAATGAGGTCTCGCTTTTAAAAAATTTCATGTAGAAGGGACATCCCATATGGTTGTATTTCTAGCGGAATAGGAGTTGACTTTTTATGACTTTTTGAGTTTGGGGATCGTTTCCAGTTCCAAGTCGTCGCTTATATTTTAGAAATATTTTGAAGTGTCAAGTATATTCCGATCATGTACAACTAATAAGAAAGGTAGGACTGATTTGGGGTTTCTGACCTAGGGGAATATAAAATTCTGCTTACTGTGTAGCTCTGTGTATGTACCTCTAATGCGAATTCAGTCACGTCGCCCAATATCACTACCACTAGGCTGCAGGCACGGACTGTCTTTCACTGTATTGGGGCGGAAGAGAACATAGGACCGATATCGAGGTGGATTCCATTCTAATGGCATGGCAACGTATTTATCTATAAAGTAGACCTGACGTATCTGAATCCGCAGCGTCCCTACTCTTGGAGAGCCTACTGAAATACTGCAAGGCCTGAGC